CTGCAGGATCCGGATGTGGCTTCGCTCGTAGAGTTCGCCCTCCACAAGAACAAAGGACTTGGCGCGACGTGCGAGCCATTGAGCTTCCGTCTTATCCATTGGTAGTGTGTCACGGAGGAGGTAGTTGAGGTAGAGTACCCTCCAGTCGACCGGAGGTCCGAGCTCTGTTGCTGGGCCTTCTTCGAGCTCCATGACTTTGGGGCCAGACGGAGCCGACGGTTGGTCAGCCCCTGAGGCTGAATCGGGGGGACCGTCATCAACCTATTCTGACCCCTCGTAGCAGACCGAGGGCTTGTGTTGGTCATTGGTGAAGACCCCTGTTGGCACCGGCTCTTGGCCGGATGCCGCTTTCGCAAGCGTGTCGGTTGCCTAGTTGAGGCACCTCGGGATGTGATTGAGTTCGAGGCCGTTGAATTTGTCCTCCAGCTGTCAGACTTCTCTGTAGTAGGCAACCATCTTGGCATCGTGATAGTTTGACTCCTTCGTGACTTGGTCGACAACCAACTAGGAGTCACCCCAGACGTCGAGGCATCGGATGCCCAACTCGATGGCAATGCGTAGGCCGTTGATGAGTGCTTCATACTCAGCCACATTATTGGATGAGGGGAAATGGTGACGAACCATGTACCTCATGCGTACCCTAAGGGGTGACATGAAGATCAGCCCCGCATCAGTGCCCTTCTTCATCAGCGATCCGTCAAAGTACATCATCCAGTACTCTTGATCTACAATCGCCAGCGGCATTTGGACCTCGGTCCACTCCGCGATGAAATTAGCTAATACCTGGGACTTGATGGCCGTCCAAGGGGCATATGAAATGCCTTGATCCATCAGCTTGAGTGCCCATTTCGCGGTTCTCCCCGTGGCATCCTAGCTTTGCACGACCTCGCCGAGGGGGAACGACGTCACGACCGTCATCGGGTGTGACTCGAAGTAGTGGCGTAACTTTCTTTTGGTGATGAGGACGGCATACAGGAGCTTCTAGATTTGAGAGTAGCGGGTCTTAGAGTCAGATAGTACCTTGCTGATGAAGTACATAGGGCGCTGCACCTTGAAGGCGTGCCCCTCTTCTTCCCGCTCCACTACCAGGGCGGCGCTGACCACTTGCGTGGTGGCCGCTATGTATAGCAGAAGGGATTCTCCCTTAGTTGGAGGAACCAAGATTGGGGCCTTTGTCTGAAGTAGTTTGACCATGTCAAGTGCCTCTTGGGCCTCGGATGTCCATTCGAAGCGGTCACCCTTCTTCAAGAGTCGATAAAGGGGGAGACCTCGTTCGCCGAGGCGCGAGATAAATTGGCTGAGTGCGGCGAGGCACCCTGTGACTCGCTGAACCCCCTTTATATTCTGAATCGGGCTCATCCTTGTGATGGCTGAGATTTTCTTCGGGTTGGCTTTGATGCCACGCTCAGAGACAGTGAAGCTAAGCAGGATACCCTCGGGACCCCGAAAATACACTTCTCGGGATTGAGTTTGATGTTGTTGGCTCAGAGTTTTGCAAAGGTCTGCTCAAGATCGACAACGAGGTGGTCAGCCCGTTTGGACTTGACCATGATGTCATCAACGTAGGCCTCAACGGTTCGCCCAATGAGGCCCCCAAAACACTTGAGCATACAATGCTGGTATGTAGTCCCAGCGTTCTTCAGACCGAACGGCATTGAGGCATAGCAGAACGATTCGAAGGGGATGATGAAAGATGTCACGAGCTGATTGGACTCTTTCATCGCGATTTGATGGTACCTGGAATATGCATCAAGGAAGCAGAGGGTTTCGCACCCCGAGGTAGAGTCGACTATTTGGTCTATGCGCGGCAAAGGAAACGGATCCTTTGGGCACGCCTTGTTGAGACCCATATAGTCAACACACATCCTCCATTTCCCACTCTTCTTTCATACAAGAACGGGATTGGCTAACCACTCTAGGTGGTATACTTCCTTGATGAACCTGGCTGCCAAAAGTTTTGCTATTTCTTCGCCGATGGTCTTGCGTTTCCCCTCATCGAAGCGATGCAGGCGTTGCTTCACTAGCTTGGAGCCTGGGCAGATCTTCAAGGTATGCTCGGCAACTTCCCTCGGAATGCCTGGCATATCCGAGGGTTTCCACGCAAAGATGTCTTTGTTGCCACGGAGGAAGTCGACGAGCGCACTTTCCTATTTGGAGGAAAGCGTGGTACCAATGCGCACCGTTTTGCCCTGGGAGCTATCGGGAACTATGAGGACTTCCTTAAAGCCTTCTACTGGCTTGAAGGACCTGGTCGACTTCTTGGTGTCGGGCGCTTCTTCGGTGACCTCCCTCTCGATGGTGGCGAGCTCTCCGGATGCGACGATTGCTACGGCATGACCGTAGCACATGACCTCGCACTCATAGGTCGCTGGAAGGAGGTGCCGACAGTGATGACCCCGCCGGGGCCTGATATTTTTAGCTTGAGGTATGTATAGTTGGGGACGGCCATGAACTTCGTGTAGCATGGACGTCCCAGGATGGCGTGGAAGGTTCCGGGGAGCCTAACCACCTCGAAGGTGAGGGTTTCCGTCCTATAATTGAATGGATCCCCGAAGGTAATGGGCAGATCGATCTGCCCAAGTGGCATGGCCTGCTTTCCAGGCACGATGCCATGGAAAGGTGCTCGGGTTGGGTGGAGGCATGTCTGGTCGATGCCCATTTCATCGAGCGTCTTGGCGTACATGATGTTGAGGCCGCTGCCTCCATCCATCAGTACTTTGGTGAGCCACTTTTCGGGCCGACGATCGGGTCGACCATGAGCGGATATCTCCCTGGATGCGGGATGCTTTTCAGGTGGTTGGTCTGATCGAAGGTTATGGCGGACTCTGACCACCGGAGAAAGGTAGGCATGGTTGGTTCGGTCGTATAGACCTCACGGCGCATGACCTTCTGACGGTGTTTGGAGTCGTAGGCCGCTGATCCTCCGAAGATCATAAGGCAACCGTCTGGTGTTGGAAAGCCATCGTCCTTCTCCTCGGCATCATCCACGGTGGGGGCAGGGTCCTTTCCGTGCTCCCCTTTGTTGGAACCTCGAGACAAGAACCGCCGCATGAGGCTGTAGTCCTTGTACAGATGCTTCACCAAGAAAACATGGTTCGGGCATGGCCCCTCAAGTAGTTTTTTGAAGTGGTTCAAAGTGCCCTCCATGGTCTTCCAACCACCCTTGCGGTCAGCAGCGGCTACGAGTGAGTCCTCATGCCGTTGCTTCTTGTTCTTTCTTTTGGCAGAACGATTGGAGGCGCCTTCGCCGGCGACCTTGTCCCGCCTTGCCTTGCCCTTGAGACGATCGATGATCGCTCCGACCGCTTCTTCTCCTGAGGCATGGCTGGTGGTCTTGTCTAGGAGTTCCTTGGTGGTTCGCAGGCCCTTGCATCCCAGCTTATGAACCAAAGACTCACAGGTAGTCCCGGACAGGAAAGCTCCTATAACGTCGGCGTCGATGATGTTAGGAAGCTCGTTGCACTGCCGGGAGAAGCGTCGGATGTACCCATGGAGGGTCTCACCAGTCTTCTATCTGTAGTTCTTGAGGTCCCATGGGTTCCCAGGGCGCTTATATGTGCCCTAGAAGTTCCCCACAAAGATCTCCCTCAGATCCGCCCAACTCTGGATTGCGTTGGACAGCAGGTGTTCCAACCATGCTCGTGCTGAATTGGCGAAGAACAGTGGAAGGTTGCGGATAATGAAGTCATCATTATCTGCACCACCGGCTTGGCAGGCAAGCCGATAGTCTTCGAGCATAATCCAGGGTTTGTTTCCCCAGAGTACTTTGGGATATTGGTCGGTGGTCGGTACCTCGGTGGGAAAGCAGTGTTGAGGATGTGATGGCCGAAGGCCTGAGGGCCTGGCAGGCTGGGGCTCGGGCTTTGGTCCTCGCCGCTATCGTAGTGTCCGCCACGACAAGGATGATAGCCGTGGCGGGCTCCTTCTGTCGGGTCGCCGTAGGTACGTCTGCGGGCATCGAGGGTCGGGCAAGGCGGAGCCAACCTTCGGTCGTTTAGGCAAGAAGTGTAGTTGCGTTATTGTCTGTTCGGAAGCATCAACGTTTGATGGTTATTAGCTCATCCTCTTTGGATACCCCGGTATTCGGTCCCCGACAGGTGTAGTATAGCATTTTATTCATCAGTCGTAGCCAATGGTGGTGGGTGGCTATAGGTAGCAGGCCTTCCAGCGAGCGGCGATGGTTAGCGAACTCTTTCTACTGTCAGACCAGTTTAAAAGCTAAGGAAAAAACCACCAGAAACCTTATAAACTGAGTGGTGTGTGGCACTTCTAGCAACTTAATTTGGTACAACATATAATCCAACTGATAATTCGAGTCTCTACTCGCTTAGACATGCTTTGCTAAACCAACCTGAGTAAAAAGATGACCTAACTAAGGCCCTGTTTGGATTAATAGAGCTAATAGTTAGCTAGCTCATTGGATTCAAATATATCTAGCTAGTAGTTTAGCTAATTATTAGCTGAATACTCAACTAACAACTACTCCTATTTCACTAGCCGTTGGACAGACTAGCTAATAGCCGTTAATATTAACTATGAGCAATTAGCTAGCTAACTATTAGCAGCGCATGGATCTAAACAGGGCCTAAACAACTCAACACAACCACTATATCACAAAACCCAACTCAACCAACTAGCTATAAACTTGCACCAGCACCACACCATAAATATTATGTAAAATGGTTGAAATAGGCATGATTGACACAAGTTTAAAATGATCGAAGCGCCAGCTGCTGTTATTACCCAAAATAAGTGACCACATTAGACTCCAAAAGTCACAGTCCATGCAAAACACGCATGCATGGTTATACATACATAGATGCAAGCGCAAATCGAGCTACATACACAGACAGCCACACTGCGAACATATACCAACAGAGAGTATGCTTACGGTGCAGTAAAACTTTTTTATTCACCGGTCATACGTAGCCGCCGGCGGTGTGGTCGTTGCACGCACGCGCAGGCGCAGCTGGCGCGCCTTGGATCGGAGTCAGGAGCTGCTAGCGGCGGCGGTTGGCGGGCTCCTTCTGCGCGTTGAAGTAGACGACGGCGGTGGGAAGGCCGAGCTCGTGCGCCGCCGCGAACGCGCGCGTGTTGAAGTTGGCGCGCTCGCCGGGGCCCTCCGCGTGCACGCGCGTCTTCTGCTCGAACAGCACCAGCACGTAGCGGTGGATGCCCACCGGCGGCCGCGGGCCCATGTACTCCACCACCTCCTCACCTGCACCACACCATGTAGTAGCACCAACACGTGTCAACGCTCCTGTGCCGACGCTTGGCGTGCGCTGGAGCGGTGGCACAGAGCGTGCTGCCGCCAAACTCGGGCACGGCGCGATGACGGCTCACGTGAAAGTTTGTGCCATGCAGTTGTGGGTGCAGCGCGTGCACACGCAGATGAAGATCATTTAGGGTATGCGGGCACCAAGTATAGAGGCACGGTACCGCATGGCCGGTACGGTGAGGAGAAATACAAGCCAAGATTCTTCTCTATTTATTTATGTTGTATCAATTATATTATTAGAAAAGACAGATATGTACAAGCCAAGATTTTGTAGTTTTCTCGTTTGTGAACAGGGAAAAATACATATATCACTGCCGCCCATGACATATAGGCTCTTTCTCCTTGATCATAGAGTACGATACTCTACGTATAGCATTGGATCATGTAGGTATAACTGAGAGGAGATAACTGGATTGACATGTTGTAAATGGTCTAGTGTTTAAATTCCTTCCATTTTGAAACTTTTTGCATTTATCATTTGTATATATATTCCTAGTTATTCTCGAAAAAAGGAAAACCTAATCGAATCATTCTTTTAAGGTCAGGCAAGGACATGTGGATGTTGAAATTTATATATGTAGTACAATTTGCAAAGAGTGTTTCAAACAAAAAAACAAAACATTGAAGATAACAAAACTATTAATCATGATCACTCTGTCCTGAAATATAATGGACTAATCAGTAATTATATGCATAGTATTTGTAGATAACTCTCTTAGCAGTGCCCTAACTCCTTGAAATGCAGAGTAAAACAACGTGGACAAGTTATGTAATACGAAATAATAGCTATACGTATTTCCACTTATCCTTCGCTTATTGCTTTAGTCTGTACGGAGTGTGATATTTGGACATTTCGGTACCATGCATAAAATGAAAACATTACTGCTGTTAATTTTGGGATTCCTTTTTAGTCCTTTCTTCAATATATCAAGAAAATAATCGATCGAAGCACACATTTATTTATTTATGACAATAAAAAGCATATAGGGGTACTATACTTAAATTGGTTATTTGGTACTTACTTTATTCTAAACTATAAAGCATTTTGTTTTTTCTAGATACATATGCACTTATCTTTACACTATGTCTAGATACGTAGAAAAATAATGTATCTAGAAAAGTCAAAATGCCTTATAATTTGAAATAGAGAGAGTATATAACATAATGAATTGTCTTTAAATTGAGCTCACCTTTGCTTGCATCCGTTCCTCCTGGTATGTTAGTCACTATCCTGCACGCCGCAAATTGACACAGGGAGAGACATGCATGCATGTGTGGCAAGAGAATAGAAATTAGGCAGCTGGACACACATATGGTATATAGTAGAATAAAGGGCCTTCGGCCTGTTCTGTTTGTCTAGTCTCAACTTGTTTCAATTTATTTTCTTTCACAGAATACTATTAAATCAGCCGAAATTAGATCAAACTGGATCAGCCGGTGCCAGATCATACACACAAGTAGCAGTAGCAGACAGCAGTACATACCAGTGGAGGTACTCCCTCATGGTCGGGTCGCTGGGGCTAGGCGCATCAGGGTCCGTCATGATCTGCGACATGCAGGAAGTTGCAATCCATGTATATAGTCATGTTTCGGCGCATGCATATATGCATGCATGTCAATTGGAGGCAGAGAAGTGTACCGCCGTACGTGCAGCAGCGACATCGACACGTGAGCCAATTAAGAACAGCTAGCCATACCAGCGTGTAGAGGTCGTTGCGGCGGCCGGAGATGCGGACGAGCGGCGGCGCGGCGGTGGCGGACGGCTTGAGGAGGCAGCCGTTGCTGATGTCCTTGGGGCCGTAGGCGACGGTCATGAAGATGGAGGGCACGAACAGGTCCACCACCTCGCCGATCACCCGCCCCACCACCAGCGGATCCACGAACCGCGCCATGACGACGACGATCGACGACGACGACCTTAATTTGGCTAGCTAGCTAGCTTGGCTAGATCGAGCTCAGCTCTTCTTCTTCTTCTTCTTCTGTGTACATGTGTGAGAGAGTACTGAGTAGTAGTGTGTGTACTAAAAGTCCTTGTGCGACCTTGCGTTGCAGTGTTTAACTACTTCTGTCGCGTGGTGATGATGGTCGATGACGTACGCACAGTAGTTGAGATGGAGCCGCGCGCTGTGTCTAGCTAGGCGTGGTGCACGTACACGTACAGGCAGGGCGGCACAAAGCGCTGGGTTTTGCAATGGGACTTGGACTATTGGCACGACGCAATGCAGGGGGCCGGCGAACTTGACACGTTAGCTTCAAAGCTGGGCCATCAGTGGGCAGCGTGCCACGTGTGTCATGATGATCTGGACCAGGTGGGCGTGGTTGTCCACATTTCATGAATCTATCTATATATCCATCCATCGATATTTACGTACTCCCTCTCCGGTCGTTCAATTATATATACAGAGAAAGGTAACTATATTGCTATACACATATACACTTTTCGACACAAATCTACTTGTATCATTATTTCAAAGTAACCATATGTTGGCTACTTCATGCAAATTAAAGGAAAATGCCATTGTCCATGTGAGCAAAGGTAGGCTCTATCCACCATCTGTTCTGTTGATCCAAGCCTCCATTCGCCAATTTACTCAGATCCAAAAAATGCACCTTATTTTCGGGTTATTTTCATGCCATATACATTAGAAGCCTGCTTTATTGCATGACATGTGGATTTGATGTATGGAAGCTGGCCGATGAGTTCTCCTCGTCTTCATGGCTCAACCCCTTCCCTACTTCCTCCGACTCTCCAACTACCAACACCATCATCTGACGCTATCACCTCTACCCCCTCCCCCCAACTTCAATGTCTGCTTATTATTAAAGACTTGTCTTCAACCATCGTAAGCATGACTCCACCACCTGCCATTGCCGTGTCAGACTCTACCCACGTCTCCCATCTCTGTTCCTGCTCCAAAAATTTTAGGAGTCGATTTTGAGTGCGTGTGCATCCATATTTTTATTCGTAGGATATTTTGGTCAACTAGAAGGATTTAGGCATAAGTGGAAAGCTTTTGGTCTTTGAATCAAAAGTTTGGTTGTAAACCAAAAGATTAATTTCCCAAAAAATAGAAAGTTGTTTCCAAGAGATAATTTGCCCCCTCTAAACTTAATAATTTATTTGCCTTAATTGGAACTTCTGTCCATGAATTAAAGGTTTTTCCACTAATCAAAATCATCTGAAAGCTAATTAAATGAATCCTTATAGTGGCAATAGCTCTAGGGATGAGAGGAGAGGTATATCATAGAAGATGAAATGGAGGGAGGGAGTCGGATAAACAATTAAGGCAAGGACATGAATGTCAATGAAGAATTTGCCATGTAGAAATTAATGGTTCTCCATTCATGTTCCCAAATTGAGAAAATGTTGTGGTGGAACTGTCCGATTTAACCTGATCCAAATATGCTCGTCACCGTTACAACACTAATTAAGCACACTTGAAACAAGTCAAATTCGATAGTCTGATGAGTCCACCTGAACAGAGAACCTAAATCATCCATGTTTTCATCACATCTAGGATCACAATACAAAAGTCATTTTAAAACCTTTCACAAACAAGTTCAAATACATAACATAGGTTTTCATACTTTATTTAATTACAAAACAGGTTTAAGACATCAGAAGTTCAAGTAGCTTTAAGTCATCAAAAGCATGCATAAGTAGATTGGTGAAATACAATCTTGACCCCTAAGCTTAACTAAGTTCCCATTGGAAAGGTACGAGATGACATCAATAGGTTTGAAAGCATCTAGGCCCTTAGTGGGCTTCGGTGATTAATGACGACATAGCATTATTGTGACTAGCATGTGTTTTGCAGAGGCAATTTAAGTTAGACCGCAATAATGGTGATTGTTTGGGCAATCAATGGGTTTCATGCCCCTATCGATGGAAATCATTTCTGTTTTCAAAGGATGGATGACAAGGTTAAGGACTAACTAATTCTAAGTGTCGTTTGGCGTTGAGAGACACTTAGAGTAGTTTAGGACTTTGTTTTTCCTTTGACAGTACTATTAAAGGGGGGGTATGAACTAGTAGCCTGACCTAGGTGAGTTTAATGAGTTAGGTGTGGTGCACACTTGTCAAACTTAGCAATAGTGAAAGGTCCTGATGGCTAGAGGGGGTGAATAACCTATTAAAAAATTTCTACAACAACACTAAGACAAGTGATTAGTAAATAAGATGGCGAAGCGAATTTTACGCTAGCACTACACTTGTGTTGCAAGCCACCTACCAAATTCTAATTTCTATGATCTCTAGTATATCACACAAGAGCTATGTTACTAATTTACATCTAGGTGGACAAGCTAGCAAGAGAGCTACAACTAAAGAGCTACACTAGCTACACTAACTAGCTACAGCTACCACAAGCACTACACAAGGTAAATACACAAAGTAATGCAAAAGAGTGGTAAAAGTGATATACCGCCGTGGCAAGTGATCAATCAATGACTACCAAAGAATAAGAAGGAGACAGTCAAGACATAATGATTTTTCCTCCGAGGTTCACTTGCTTGCCGGCAAGCTAGTCCCCGTTGTGGCGTTTCACTCACTTGGAGGTTCACACGCTAATAGGCATCACACGCCTAACCCACAACCGGGTGCCGCAGAACCAACACAAGATGAGGATCCACAAACCACGCGCAATCCACTAGAGTTGCCTTTGGCGCTCTGCCGGGGAAGGCACAAGAACCCCTCACAATCACAATGATTGGAGCTGGAGACAATCACCTTCATCCGCTCGATGATCCACCAATCACCGGGCCATCTAGGTGTTGGCAAACACCAAGAGTAACAAGATCTCCACCAGCCCAAATCGCCCAACTAGTGCCACAAGATGCTAGACCACTAAACAAATTTACTAGAGGCTCTTCAATCTCACTCAAGATGATGAAATCAAGTGTGCAAGTGAGTGGAGTGGTGTGCTCAGCACTCAAAGGGTGTATGCAGCTGTTAGTAGTGCCAAGAGAGTGGCCAAGGCTGGCCACACCCTCTATTTATAAGCCCACAAGCAAATAGAGACGTTACCCCTTTAGAGCAGATTCTGCGAGAGCACCGGACACGGCGGTGCGGTCACCGCCCTATGGGTGGCGGTGCCCCCAACGGTTGAATCCAATGGCTAGTTTGGCTAGCCATAGTCACCGGACAGGGTGGCGGTGGCACCGCCTCAGAGGTGGCGGTGACCACCCGTCCAGCTGCCAGAAAACCCTCCTCTCTGAAAAAAAGTGGCGGTGCACCACCATGGGGTGGCGGTGATCGTATTGGTGCCCGTGTCCAGTTCCCCTGCTCTCTGGATAAAAACGGCGGTGGCACCGCCCCACCAGCGGCGGTGATCGGGCGGTGCACTGCCCTCACAGCGGCGGTATACATCGGACGCACCTATGCCCGCGCCCAGTCAGCGCTTCTCGGCCACAACCAGGTGGGCACCACCCTAGGGGTGGCGGTGCCACTGGATAGGGTGAGGCTACCCCACTAGAGCACCTCCCTCTCAGCCTCCTCAGCCGATCACCACCACAGGGGTGGCGGTGCACCAGATAGGGCATGGCGGTGCCCTCGGGGCAGCACACCGAGCCCGGTAACGCCTCCTTTTCTTCACCTTTTTCACCATCTTTGTAAATGTGCTAACACTCCAAGTGTTTCACCATCACATGCAAGTGTGTTAGCATTTTCACAATCATTTTTGAAAGGTTAATCACTTCTCACCGATTGTGCACTAGCCCTAAAATACATATGCAAGTATTCCAACACCTAGTGGCACTAGATGATCGAGTTGTCCGATAAGAGCTCCCCTCTTAATAGTACTACCATCTATCCTAAATGTGATCACACTCTCTACAGTGTCTCGATCATCGAAAACAAAATGGCCCTATGGATATCACCTTTGCCTTGAGCCCATTTTGTTTTTCTCTTTCTTCTTTTCCAAAGTCCGAAGCTTGATCATCATCACATCTCCACACCACCACCATGGACTTCATTTCATGTGGCCATCTCCATCCATGAGTGTCACCTAGCTCCTTCACTTGGATTGGACCATCCTATCTAGTCACACACTTAGATGAAAGGATTAGTCCAAATAGGTTTCATCAATTAGCCAAAACCAAACTAGGGCTTTCAATCTCCCCCTTTTTGGTAATTGATGACAACCTCCACAAAGATATAAAATAAATTCAAATTTGAATCCATGTTGCTTGCCCAAGCATTTTACCATGTTTAAAGAATTTGGACAAGTTTCATGAACCCCCGTTGGTAGCATTAGCTCCCCCTACATATGTGCTAAGAGTTTAGATTGAAAGCTTGCACATATGCATAGATTTGAGTTGTGGGAGAGTAATGTCTACCAAATGATGCTAAGGTATAAGAGATGGACCTTTGAAGTGTGATATCAATCGGAGTGCACCAAATACACCATCCTTAGCACTATTGCTAGTTAGATATCACTTGCAAGGACAAGAACTAGATACCTCGTGAGATCAATATTATAAGCAAGGTTCTAGTACTACTTGTGAAAACAAATGCAAGGCATATCTAACTATCACTTATGCATGCTAGTTTTTCATTTCATCAATCAAACCTACAACTAGCATACACCACACAAGCATGTATATTGAATTTAAGCTTTTCAAATGCAAGCAAGCATATGTGAATGCACATTCAAATGCAACATACAAGTTTATGAGCTTGCTCTCCCTACTTGTGTGCTTAAATTTTAATTGATCCCTTTCCTTTATCATATCTCTCCCCTATGTCAAAGCTCTCCCCCTTTGTCATTTAACCTTATCTTTATGCAATTTCTCCCCCTTTGTCATCAATGACCACAAAGGTTTAAGGTTAAGATTATCGATGTCAATCAATGGGGTGAGGATCATTTTCCCAAATTTGGTCCAATCTAGAACA